AGAGAAAAAGAGAGAGAGAGAGAGAGAGAGAGAGAGAGAGAGAGAGAGAGAGAGAGAGAGAGGGAGAGAAAGAGAGAGAATACAAGGATGAGCCATGATAGCGCGATTATTATTAACCGGCAGTACGATTGTTGGTTGGCGCAGAGCGCGGTTGCCATGAGATCGGCTTTCCATGCGCTGTTGGAGGGCACGACTCGAACGCAACGGTCGGGAGGGAAAGTGAGGGAAATCGGCGAGAGAGCAGAGTACCGGGAGAGCCGCACTCGAATCAATCACAAGCGTAATACTGCCAATGGCCTGGCCGCCGACGCGGTCTCGCGAACGCTACTACAATCCCGCGGCCAGTCGCCGAAATTATTGCCGTGCCTCGCGCACCCGGTATATAACGCACTTCCCGTTCAGCCGCGTAATTTTCTTCCCCCTCCTGCGCGCTTCCCCTGGGCGGAACATAATTTTCTCCGCGGCTCTGTAGCCGGCGATGTAAAGCAATTAGAGATGCGGCCCGCGGAAGGAAACGATTATTCAGGCACCCGGCTATGCCCGATTACGCGTCCGATGCGCTGCCATCCGGCGCGGCGCGCTGCCCGGGAACGAGCAATTACTGTTCGTTCTTTCTTTTGTTGCATGCCCGGAACGCTGTCCGAGATGCGCGCGGTCCAATTTGAATGACCTTTCAATCCCGCGCGATTCGTTATACTATATAAGCGAAATTTATGGCATTCCCATCTAGACGACAGGGAGATAAATAGAGAGAGGGGAAGACAGATAGAGAGAGAAGAGAGTGACACGTATTGTTGCCGCGGAATGCGCGATATTATTGCGTGTCGCATTTGCTTATTCTTATAAAAGATGCAGCGGAATACCGCGGGAAAATGGCGATATGGATTATCGCGATTGTAGCGCGACTACAAATTTTCCAGAGTTATGAGCCGCGGCCGGTTTGCATGATCCCGGGGATTAACGGGAGAGAAATGGATGAAACTAGAGAGGGAGTTTATTGTCCTGTACGTTCCTTCGCGGGGCTTGAGAATCTCGAGACCCTCCGGCGCGTTTACCGGGCGATGTTCAATAGAGAAGGGAACAAGCGGCGTCCCAGTTCGCTCCTCGCGCACGTCGAAACTCACGTTCGCGTCTGCAAAAACTGACACTGCTTGGCAGTACGTACAGAATTGGCTGCTCCCACGGGAAACGTCGTACTGTTTCGCTTTTTTTCCTCGGATGCCTGTAGAACGCTCGCTTTACGCGCGGCATGCGTTTTCGCAACCGCAATTTAGCCGAGCAAAGTGCGAGCTTTGGAGCCGCGGCTTCGCGTTACACGGACGATATCACATGAGTTTGCTGTTTCGCGATCGATCTTGTTGTTGCCGCAAAAAGCACAGAATTTACATCATCGAATGACAACGCAAAGAAAACTACTCTGTTATTTAAAATTGTCTTGCTATCCGTATAATTAATAATACAGATCACTTTGCGTCTCATGAACGTAAGAGAAAAAGAGGAAGAAAGAATGAGAAAGAAGAGGGAGAGAGAAAGAGAGAGAGAGAGAGAGATAGGGAGGGATTCATTTTAATTCTAGGACATAGCCTCTGAGGGCTGTTACGTATAAAGTTTGTAAAGTATAAGATTAATAAAAGAGTATAAGAAATAATATTTGATATAACATTGATGAAATAGTTTTATAAATTTAAATTGATGTATTTCACGCATTTTGAAGAAATTAATTTTGAGTATAGGTATTTATTAGAGAAGTGTAAAATATTTCCTTTTTCATTTTTCTGTAATCATGTATATATAGTACATAATTAAACCTGAAGAGGCATGTCAGCAAAAATATAAAGAAAGGAAAAGAGCAAAAAATTGAAATGGAAGAAAGAAAACAAATAAAAAATATAATAAAGCAAGTGAAAATCTTAACTCGCGCGGTGAGAATCTTACACATCATCTGACTACAAATGTTCGTCTACCTCACATACGAGGGTGGTCTGAAAAGTTTCCGACCTCAACGTGAAGATAGCAGCACTTGTAAATAAAAGCTAGTGAATTTCGTTGTTC